CGTTGTACTCTAGGACTTGTATTTGTTCTACAGATAAATGATGGAATAGTGTAATTTACTTCTGTACGTCAATTCGGTCTCACTTTATTTCAGTGGGCGTCTTTTAAAAGTTAAAACTGCAAGCGTAATACACACAAATAACGTAACAGTGTGTCGTATTTATTTAACGTAGGGCAGTTGCGCTATATCCTAGGGAAGGGCATAATTATTAATTAATAAGCATTATAGGCCAGAGGAAATTTTGCGCCCCTTCACACCTGCGCCCGAGGGCGACTGCCCCCCTCTTGCTATGCCACTGAACTCGATATATTTAATATTATAACCAATACTATTAATGAAAGTAACAGAGTATACAGGACACACAAACACTATCGTTGGCTTTAAGTACTGTCACAGATTTTATGTTTGTTTAACAACTTACCATTACTTCGACTGTGTATAAGAAAAACTTTTCACAATTCTCCCTAAACAAAGCTGTGACCAATGAAAACCTATTACACGGCTCTCACAATGTAACTTTGGTAATTAATACAAAACAAACAAAAAACTTTTGTTATATGGTTCAATGCTCTCCACTAAAGAAGGTTTGTATATTTATTATTTTCCAACATTATACACACGTTGTTTTAAAGGCTATGTGCAGTCAAAGTTACATGACTGTTGGAAATTTCACCACAGTCTTATTCATATTAAACTACATTGGTGAGATCATTCTCAAGTACATAAGTACTTAGTATCCGTTAAAACGTGTGCACTAGGGAAATATCACACAAGTGATCAAAACGTCATACTTATTTTAAAGTTCTTCATTTCTGTGAAAGCTGTAACTTGTAATAAATTAAATCTACCAGATGTTGAATACAGTGATATAATAGTGACACATGTAGAAGTGGAATGTTTTTTTGTCTCAAATCTCTACCAATCTTAAAATCAGAAAACAATTTCAAAGAAAAATAAATTAACCTCGTGCCTGCTATGTTTTAGATTTATTAACCTCATGTCTGCTGTTCTAGATTTATTAACCTCATGTCTGCTGTTCTAGATTTATTAACCTCGTGCTTGCTATGTTTTAGATTTATTAACCTCATGGCTGCTACGTTTTTAGATCTATTAACCTCATGCCTGCTACGTTTTTGGTTTATTAAACTCATGCCTGCTGTTTTAGATTTATTAACCTCGTGCCTGCTATGTTTTAGATTTATTAACCTCATGACTGTTGCTTTGGATTCCTTAACCTCATGCCTGCTGTTTTAGATTTATTCCTCATGCCTATGTTTTAGATTTATTAACCTTGTGCCTGCTATAGTTTAGATTTATTAAGACTATAAGCTCAGTCTGTAAAGATGCTATCAAGGTTTTAATCTTAATTTAGGGTTAATCTAATTTCTAATGGCCTGAAAAATTAGTCATATGACATCTTCAACTGCCTGGGAAACAGTGTGTAATTAACTAAAGACCTACCATAGAAATATGGACCATTTATTTCACAGTAACTACGTATGTGGTAATAGTTAAATTCTTGCTGTAATTATATATTTTTTTCAGAACTCGTCTAAAAAAGTGTTATAAAGAGTTAAAATAAATGTTAGTTGATATTGAGTCCATCATTTCACTGTAATCTGTAGCCAACAAATCACTACACTTGAGAACGAGAAGAGTTTACATGTTAAATATTTCTGATCTGTACATTCATTTTTAAAAAATGATAGTATCTCAGCATAAGGTTAACAGTACATAAAACTGGAAGCTGACCTTCAACACCCTGTTGTGGCAACATATAAACTACAATGTTGTTCTGTGGTTTCTGATATTCATCACCCTGTTGTGGCAACATATAAACTACAATGTTGTTCTGTGGTTTCTGATCTTCAACATCCTGTTGTGGCAACATATGAACTAGAAATGTTGTTCTGTAATTTCTGATCTTCAACACCTTGTTGTGGCAGCATATGAACTACAAAGTTGTTCTGTGGTTCATGATCTTCACCATCCTGTTGTGGCAACATATGAACTAGAAATGTTGTTCTGTAGTTTCTGATCTTCAACACCTTGTTGTGGCAGCATATGAACTAGAATGTTGTTCTGTGATTCATGATCTTCAACATCCTGTTGTGGCAGCATATGAGCTACAGTGTTGTTCTGTGGTTCATGATCTTCAGTACTTTGTTGTGGCAACATATAAACTAGAATGTTGTTCTGTGGTTCATGATCTTCACCATCCTGTTGTGGCAACATAGAACTAGAATGCTGTTTGGTGGTTCATGATATTCAACATCCTGTTGTGGCAACATATAAACTAGAATGTTGTTCTGTGGTTCATGATCTTCAACATCCTGTTGTGGCAGCATATGAGCTACAGTGTTGTTCTGTGGTTCATGATCTTCACCATCCTGTTGTGGCAACATATGAACTAGAATGCTGTTTGGTGGTTCATGATATTCAACATCCTGTTGTGGCAGCATATAAACTAGAATGTAGTTCTGTGGTTCATGATCTTACAATGCAGAATTAATATTCTAAGAATGGTAGATCATCATATCAAATTTTCTGATAACTATTTGTAAAACATTAAATCTTTGGATTATAATTTAGGATTTTAGTCGAAGAATCACTTCAACTTTTATACTAAAAAAAGCTTTTTCTGGAGAATAGAAGCTATTGAAATTTTAAAAAATCGAGAATTTTTGTCTGTCCAGGTTACACACACAAAAAGGAAATAACAAGAGATGTCAGGTAGCCAAAAAGATTTTAGCTATTCAAAATTGATACATGTGTACACTTTACAAATTTCATTTTAAAAAATGCCTTTAAACAAAAAAATTAAACTTTTATTTATTAATACTTATGAAATATTTTAAAATTAAATAAGAGACAAAAATCATATTTCTATATTTTGGCTAACATTTTGAAATTAGTTTGTAATTACTTAAACTTTTTCATTTATTAATCTTGCTTGTTTGTTTTTTGAATTTCGCCAAAGACGTCCCTAATTTAGCAGTGTAAGACTAGAGGGAAGGCAGCTAGTCATTACCCCCCCTGCCAACTCTTTTACCAACGAATAGTTGGATTGATCGTCACACCATAACGCCCCCATGGCTGAAAGGGCGAGCATGTTTGCTGTGACGGGGATTCGAAACCCGCATCCCTCAGATTGCGAGTCGAACGTCCTAACCACCTGGCCATGCCGGGCCTTATTAATCTTAAAAATATTCATTTCTTAATGTTGATTATTTTGCCCAATATTTTGTTATTATTATTTAAAAGAGATAAAAAACATCATCAGTGTAGAGAAAATACAAGCCCTACTACATGTTTTTGGGTTATAACACATTTTTTTGTGTGTGTGTGGAAATTATAATCAAAGTTAAATAAAAGGATTTTCAATAATTACAAATAAATGCATGATTGAGTTTACTTGGATTTACAGAACATAAGATATCAAAGACAGCTTTTTTACTTATCTCCACTGCATTAATGGGAAAAATTCCACTGAATGCACTTAAAATTTATGTTTGAAAGTAATTTATCAGTAGAGCGATGAATATTTCCCGTACTTTAAAGAAACTTAAAAAAATTCTTAAGCGGCACTAATATCATGTTACTTATTCCATAATTTATTTACAAAACCCAGCAGTTTACAAACAAGTGAAACAGGAATTAAACTATACGAATGATGGGAAAGTTCTTATGTGTAGAGAAATCAAAATCTGGTGGATCCTGGAAAGAATAAAAAGCATTAGATCCAACACAATGAAAATTACTTTGTTCTCTAATTCTGAAACTATGTGATAAGAAAGAACATAAATGCTAAAATATTGTAGTGAACATTACCCATGTGGCCTTAAGATTTATAGAAATTACAAGTTACTTGATTATTGCTATTACCATACCTGGTTAGATCAGAAAGTGTTTATACTGCGTATGTAAAAATAATCACATTTTAAATCTTTTTAAATATCATTTTGCCCATCCTAGCATTGAGTGAGACCAAAACTTTTACTGTAAATAACAAAAGTAAATTGATTCACAAGAGATTCAAAAAGTACAAAAAGTATTTCACAATGATTAAATTACTACATTTTACAACTCAAGTCATCTTTCTATTCAATTATTAGTTCAACAAATCCTAGCATTGAGTGAGACCAAAACTTTTACTGTAAATAACAAAAGTAAATTAATTCACAAGAGATTCAAAAAGTACAAAAAGTATTTCACAATGATTAAATTACTACATTTTACAACTCAAGTCATCTTTCTATTCAATTATTAGTTCAACAAAACTTCATGCATTAAACACATTGTTAAAGTACAAAAAAAGTCATCCATTATTACTACTATTGTTAGAGCACAGTCTAATCATATTATATCAGATGACTTAGATTTCATGGGTCAGTCAGGACATAAGAACTATCTCCAATTGGTTTTGTTAGTTTCAGCCATAAAAACCTGTGATTCCGGAAGAGTTTGACAAAACTTTCAAATGATCAAATATCTACTACAGCCTCTTATAACACACAAAAAGTGTAATAAAAGATCAAAACCCTTGACTCGGGGAATCATTTTAAAAATCTGGTAATAGGACTTCAGTTTATGATGACGTGTGCAATTTGAACAAGACGAGCAGGGAGAAATTAGCTTATCTTATCAGTCAGTGTAAAGTGATAGTAAAGAAAGCTTCCCTAATGAATTTTTTGCTCATTCAATGTAAGAAAGCACAAGTTCAATGTTTTTCTTAACATTAACAGATACTGAATACGAATGAAACTAATTTTCTTTTAAGATCATTTAAAAAAGAATTCTTGTAGCTTAAAATCTCATCAATATGCAAATCTTTTGTCATTCAGTAGAAATGTACAAAGGAGTTACTTTGGTGTGTGTCCACAACAGGGATCAAACCCTGAATTTTAGCATTATAAGACCTCAAACTTACCGCAAAGGCACCAGCTGTCATTCAGTAGAAATGTACAAAAGGAGTACTTGTGTCCACAACAGGGATCAAACCCCAAATTTTAGCATTATAAGCCCTCAAGCTTACCGCAAAGGCACCAGCGACATCTACAGCTCTAGCATGACTGTACAATTATATTCTTTATTCTCTGTTTCTTTTTCAAAATTTGTAGTAAAATATTGAAGGGATGATGACATATTCACAATAAGGTTAAATATAAAGATCTTTAGTCTCTACATAATAATAATAAAAAAAAACTTTCTCTGTTTAAGCCAACACTATCGTAACTTCATTAGGGTTAGTAATACAAGAACTGTTACTTGTACTACTAGCCCCGATGAAGCCACAATGGTCAAATGTTGGCTGAAATAGTTTTTTATTATTATCTGGAAAGTAAAGGTAATTTTCTTTTGTAATTTATTGCCAAAATCTCTGTTCCTTTGTAATAAACAGAAAGTGCTTGTAAAACAAGCCAGATAACTGCACTTGTTGTTAAAATATTTCTTTAATTAAAAGAGAAGAAAAAATATGATAATAAAGAACGAAAATATATAAAATTACTATTTAAAACAAAAGACAAATTACCTAATAATATGTAAAAATATCAGAGTAACACACATTCTGATTAAAGATGACCAACTGTCTACAGAAAACCATGTCATTAAGCGAGATTTTCATAAATATTTAATGAACAACAGTTTTGACATCTATTGCTCCACTGGCAAATTCCAATTTCTTGTGAGACAGGATACTTAAAATGATTTGGTCTATCTTTTGTTCTGGTTAGACTAGTTTCAGATAATAATACAGCTTATTTTAACTTACTTTTGATTGCTTCTTATGTCCACTGAGCAGCAATTTCATAACTACAAAGTTTGTCTTAGCTACTTTCATAATAGCTGTAATCTGGAATACAATAAAACACTCAAAACACCTATGTTCATAAAGCATGAAAACAAATTTACATGTTCAAACTAATATCAAAGAAATACCAATAATCTAATTTTTGACGAGTCATATAGAGCCAAACATAGCATAATGAAACTTTAGACTAAGAATAAGGTAAATAATACGAAGATTATGTGAGAGGCTTAGAATAATACATAAGATAGAAAATAATACACCTTCAAAGTGCCTTGTAACTTAGTATCTTTTATAAATGCTAATAAATATCACAAATCACTTGTACCACTATGCTCAAAAATTGAGGATTGAATCATAAAATAGTTCAGAAAAGCAAAAATTAAGATTGCAGAAATCAGTATTAAACGAGGATGGATAATCATTCATCTAAAGCTGAATTCTTCTGGCAGGAGAAGACTCTCTAAATAAATGATGGTATATTAACAACACAGAAGAGCAACATGGAGACAAAAGATACGGGACTTTCGTCAATCATACCTCTTCATTATGATCTGGAACACTCTCTATTAACATCCTGGCATGTTGGAAGCATTTGCATGAATCCAAGTACAGTTCTTCAACTGAAGGTTTAGGAACAAATCTGGACAAGTCTGTCATCTCTTTAAACTGAGCATATTGCACTGGTGGTGGGGTTAAGACACTGTTGAATGGAGAAAATCGATGCTCGTATCGGACCTGCTCGTTATCAAATTCCTGACATGGTCGCTTAAGTTTTCCTTCAAGGTTAAACCCAGCTACAGCCTGCCAACATAACAGTAAATAGTAATTCAAAGCTGACAAAAAAATGAAGCTTAGTGAAGTAACATTATAATTTTTCTACAAAACCTGCCAGTAGTAATGTACAAGTATCACAGTGAAAAACTATTAAATATTGCAAGCCAATATAAATTGGATATACAAATATAAGCTTGGTGTACCTCTCCCTCTTAAAATTCAGATATTTGTTGAGATATATATATATATATATATATATATATATATACACACACACCTACTACTACTTACTACTTATTATTAATAAACTAACAATACGTATGACTA